TTGTCTGTATTATCATCACCAGTTGTTTGCATTTGGTCTTCAATTCCAAGAGGTGCTTTTATAAATCCTCTTTTTTGTTCTTTATTTGTCGTCTCTTCCACTATTTCTCCTTTTCTTTTCCTTCCCTGTCTCTGCCCTCTTCCAACATTCTCAATTTCCTCCACATCTGTTTTAGTCATTGTCTTGACGATACTCGATTCTTCATCATTTGTTTCTTCATTCTTCTCATCAGCTATTCCTATCTTTGCTTTCCGTCCTCCACCCTGATCTTCATCTGCAGGTTTCACTTCTTCCTCCTCTTCTTCTACAGTCTGTGTTTCAAAATCAACCTCATCTTGAACTTTCAGTTTCTGCTGGTCATAATTCTCAACATGCATTGCTTTTCCAATCACAATACTTAACTTCCCAGCTTCTTCCCCCTCCTCTTCAGTAGTCTGATCAGCATCATCCTCTATAACGGCGATACGCCCTTTTCTTTCTCTTCTTTTCACATGATCCTTTTTTTCGATAACCTGTGTAGCCTCTTCAGTATCATCTTTCACTGCAGCAGACCTTCCTCTTCTCCCACCCCTTTTCCCCTGTTTTCCCACCTCAGTGGTCGGTTTTGTCTCTTCTGCTTGAGCTTTACGTCCTCTTCTCCCTTTACGTTTTAAAGGTTCTGGATCTTCAGTTGGTTGTGTAGCCTGGTCGGCCTCATCCTCTATTTCTATGTAGCTTTTTTTCCCTTTCTTTACTCTCTTTTTTGCCAATTTCTGCTTTTCAGTTGATTGCATAGCTTGTTCATTTTCATCATCCATTTCTGCACAACTCTTTCTAGCTTTCCTTACTCCCCTTTTAACGGGTACATCCTCCCCTGTTGGCTGTGTAGCCTCTTCAGACTCATTTTCCAATTCAAACTGTTTTTTCCTTCCACTTTTTCCTTTTATTATTGGCTCCTCATCAGTATCCAAATCAGCCTCGTCCCCCAATTCAAAATGTTCTTTTCTTCGACTTCTTTTTGTTACCTGTTCTTCATCAGTATCTAGATCTGCCTCTTCTTCCATTTTAAAATGTTCTATAATTCCTCTACTTGTTGTTGCCACTTCCTCACCAGTAGCCTGGGTATCCTGTCCAGTCTCGTCTACATCCATCTGTCTTTTCATCTCTACAGGATCATCATCTTCTATTTCTTGAGTTGCTTCTGTCTGATCATGCAACATTAATGTTTCTGCTGGATATTCAATATTCTTTCCTTTCCCTCTTAACCGTGATTTACTTGATTTGCTAAGCGAAGTTTGGATTTTTTCGTCATCACCATTTTCTTCCCCAGCTGCTATAGTCTCATCACCATCTGCATCAGGTTTACCTACGATAACAAAAAATATTTATTATAAAAATTTTAAAATAATTCACTGGAAAATTAAACTACCACTTTAATAGTTTTATACAGAACAAGTGATAGCACTATATTATAAGCATTTATTTGATGTGATTAATTTTTCTGAAACTGTTCAATGTAAACAAAACTGTTAGTAAGTATTTATTGTATTTATGAACATTGTGGCACTGAAATAGTTCAGCAACGATGTTGCTCAGGCAGTAAATACCGGTATGCCACAGAATGGAAATTAATGACAAGTGACAGCCAAGTAGTGCAGTTAGGTTGAAATACCTAGAACCGATTTAATTCCATGGGAGACTCAATTTAGTGCATTTCACAAGCCAGAGAAAGACATGAATTTTTTTAGCAACGTAAATTTCATTGTATGAGGGTACATGTATGTATTCATGGAACAGTAATGTCTACTTTTGTATAATTTCTATATCATACATGTAGGTCAAATTTGGCCAAGCACCCACTCCTTCCCAAAACACTAAATTTGAATGGATTATCACAAAACTTACTTTTTTACAATTTTTTGTCACATCACATTTTATTATTTATTATTAAGAATTCTTGAAAACATGTGACATGGGTCGTTTTGCTCACAAGTTCAAAATCACAAAATCATGAAAATTGATATCAGCCAATTTGAAAGTAAAGCAGTTTACAGTACCGTAAAATATAGATTAGTATTCACATCCCTAATAGAAGCTGCACCCATTTTGTTTGAGAACCAAATACATTAGTATTGACCATTTCTCATATGTGAAAATGCTCTACTAGAGAACACATCCCTTCTGTTGCATTGAATCATTTAAATAGAAGCCATTGGTTCTGATACACGTTTTACAGTAAATTTGTTATTGTCTTCACACTTTGACTCATCTGAGCATGCCCTGAAGAATGTGATTATGTCAGTTCTGTTTTTACTAAGAATTCATAACAGTGCACAAAATGAAGAACTATATTATGAGTTGATAGGTATGTTTATAGAGCAGGTTAATACATTCAAGTGTATTGATGGGCTAGTTTTATCTTTTAACTGTGGGTTAGTAGACATTTCAGCCCATGACACCAGAAGCACCAGAAGTACATGTATAAAATGATTTTAATAAGATTTTGAGTCTATTTCATTATTTATAAAACTATCAGGGGTTGCATTAGTGTTCGATAATGTGGAATCCCTGGGGTCACCCCTTATAAAATGTGTGGGTCCCTTAAACATATGTGGGGTCCCTGCCGCTACCGCACTGTATTTTTCTAAAATAGTTTTTTGCACGAACTATTACACAATAAACATAAACAGGCATTAATCACATTTATATTGTACTTTATTTACATGTTCATTCCAGCCTTTACATGTCAGCAATCTGCATTATTTACATGGTTTTCTTCTATTTTTACTGTTATTAAAATGTAATGCTGCTTGTAAAAATTTTAAATCATTACTGGGTTTACCTTCAAGTTCTTCATAAGCCAAGATAAATGAGATGGTGTCAGACTTAACTTAGACTTAATACGATTCTGACAAGAAAAGGCATGGCAACATGGAACCTGCCGGGGAGGCGATCTGGCAAATAACGAATCGATCCATGGCTTCTAGAAAAGTGATTTGTTTATCTCCCATAGTCACTTGTGTTATATAATTAAATAGTTCATTGTTTCGATTAATATTGTCCCCAGAAAACAATACACCCAAAATTTGTACATACTAGTACCAGATTCTGCAGTAAATTCGCCTCTGAGCAGTTTGGGTTTTTAAAAAAAATAAAATGGGACCAAGAAATCGGCGATTTTTCGGCAGATTTTATTTAATATTTGTTATTTAAATATTTTGGCGTCATTTTTCGGACATTTCAATCTTTCCTGACGCCTAAAATAGAGTTTAAGTTTTTATTCAAGAGTATGTTTTTTGTGACTAGCGTGAGTGCGCAAACTTTGTTTCGGTTCGAGTTGTTGTCACTGTAAATTAGTCTTCAAATGCTCAGTTTATCTTTTGAAAACAACTATTTTTTGATTTGAAAAAAAAAAATCTTGCCGCTTTCCCGTAAAAATCCAAGCCAAATGATCGTACTACAACATCGGCAAATCTCTTCCGCGTTGCGTTCAAATACATTAACATATTTAAATGAGCTATGGTAATTTGAACACGTTGACGTCATCCAGCATTTTTATTGGTAATAATTAGAGATTTGACCTATTAGGTCAACCATGCAAGACAAGGAACATGGCGGATACTCTACAGCATCGAGCGTTAATTTGCGACCGGAATTATTTGCTTACGACGAAACGAAGTTGAATTTTATTTGCATTTCATAACAATTCAACAAATTTT